ATGGCCCGGCCGGGCGGAGGGCGTGGCCGGTGCCGCCTCCCACGGCGCCCGCGCCCCTGGGGAGGGCTCGGTGGGCAGGGGCACCGTGAGGTAGGAGGCGGTGCTGTAGGGGGAAGGGGGCACGCTGCTGCCTCCGTCTGCCTCCACGAACTCCTCTGCAACCGGAGAGGGGCGTCACTGGCTGCAGGAATGGCCTGCAGCAAGGCACCGACCCAGTGACCCCCTCCAACAGCAAGATCCCAAAATGGCATTAGGCGTCTTTGTGGACTCTTTCTTCTCCTTGCCCTGGGAATGACGCCCACCCCACCCCAGGGATGAGCCATGGCCTTCCCAGAAATGCCCTAGCCCTGCCCCAGCGTGGGAGTGGCTCACCCCTTTGCACTGGGTTAAGTTCCCTTTGGCCACAGCCTCTCCTCCCTCCTCCTGGTCGCCAGCGCCAACTTCTTACCCATCTCATTGAGGCTGGCGAAGCCCGGGGCCATGGGGGTGTGTTTGGGGGACTTGCCCAAGTTGGGGGCACTTGAGGACCACTGTTTGCTTCCTTCCCCCAGAGCCTTGAGCCTGCAGGGAGCACAGGGGGATGGTCAGGCCTGTGGCTGCCCTGGGGGTGGGCGGGCACAGGGCGTAGGGGGGCACCACCCAGTACCTCTCTTCTCCTCCGGCCCGCTCCTTCTGCAGGGTGGAGCTGGGCCCCCAAGTGCGGCCCTTTTTCTTGCCCCCAACCAGTTCTTCCTTCTTTGGGGGCCCAGTGCGGCCCCATGTCCCACTGCCACCACTGCTGCTGCCGCTGCTGCTGCCACCACCACAGTCCACAGGAGTCACTGGGTTGAGAGAAGCCACTTGGTTACCGGGTCGTGGCTGGATTAGCACCCAGCCTCCAAATCTCCATCCTTGTGACACCCTCTCCCTCGAGCCACAGGGGTCACTCCAGCTCCAGCCACGACCTAGCCCTGCTGTAAATCCTTCCGTGGCTCCCGCTGCTATGGGGACACAGTTCCAGCTCCTTGGCGTGGCATTCACGGGCCCCTGCGAGCCCTTCACAACCTGTCTCTGGTGGTTCCTCTCACTTCCCACCCGAGGGATCCGTTCCCTGGCGACTCTGATGTCCTGTTCTCTGTCCCTACTACACTGAATGTACCCTGGCTCTGTACTGGTGTTTACTACCACTGTATGGTTATTTATCTCTGTGTCCCCACTACTACGACAGCTGAGGTGCCTGGGGCTGGGGGTGAGGCTGCGGTACATGGTAGCAGGGACAGACTTGGGAGTTAGCCTCGGGCCCTTAAACACGTAAGCACACTCCAGCAGCTGCCTCTCTGCCATATGGCCCCAACTGTGACCATCTCAGCCTGCCAAGCCCTTCTGGTCTCACTGCTCTCCCCTGCCTTTTTTTCTTCACAGCAGAGGCGAGAAGTACATCTGATCGGAACACTGCCTGGCTCACAGCCTTGCAGGGCTGCCCTGACGGTGTTTAAACGCAAACCCACGGGCGAGGTATAGCTCAGTGCTACAGTGTGTGCTTAGCATGTGTGAGACCCTGGGTTCATCCCCACACTGGAAACACCCCCAGATCCACAGCCCTTACGCTGGCTCTTCAGGCCCCTGAGCCCCTTGTGCTTTCACCCTATCCTCCCTCTACTCCAGAGGATTTGGCCTCTGGTCTGGGCATGTGCCACACTGTCCCAGCATTGTGTCCAGGGTGTGATCTGGGTGCCTCCTCTTACCACATGGGGTGCAGCTCAACCTTACCTTCTCACAGAGCCATCCCCGTGTAAACAGCAACCTTTCTCGGGTGGCTGGCTTTATGTGTCAGCCTGGCTGGGCTAAGGGATGCCCGGGTAAGCTGCCAGAGCACTGATTCTGGGTGTGTCTGTGAGGGGAAGATTTCTGGAAAAGCTTAACACCTGAGTGGGCAGAGAGTAAAGAAGGATCTCCCTGGCTGGACACAGTGAGGCCAGAGCATGGCAAATCTGGGCCTAGCTAGGGCGACTTGGAAAATAAAAAGGGCTGAGAATCAGGTCAGTGTAAAGGCATGAGGTTCGATCCTCAGAATTGAGAGGAGCAGAAAGTCGATGGTGATGACCACCTTCACCACCACGGGTGGGGGTCACCCAATCCCTTGAGGGGCAGGACACAACAAAGAGGTAGAGGACGGCGATCTTGCTCTCTGCCTGAGCGGGGCCATCTGTCTTCTCCTGCCCTTGGACATCACCATAGCTGGGTCTCGGCCTTGAATGAAAGTATAGTAGCTCCTGGGGCTCCAGCTTGCAGATGACAGCTTGTGGGACCTCCCAGCCTCCGTCATCAATTTGAGCCAACCCCTCACAGTAACTCTCTTTCCATATATCTGTATATATTATATTGATTCCATCTTCCATCTCTCTTCTCTTTTTTTGTGGTGCTGAGGATTGAACCTAGGGCCTCCTGCATACTAAATATGGGCTCAGTCACTGAGCTATACACCTCACCCCACCGCAACATCTCCCTTTCTCTTTCTTTTTTATTTTCCAGTGCTGGGGATTGAACCCAGGGCCTCACGCATGCTAGACATGCACTCTACCACTCCAGTCTTTTAGTCCTTCTCTGATCACCACTGGAAATGAGCCTATCGACTTATTTATCTGTTTCCCTGTCTGGCCCTGCCAGTCTTGTTCCTTGTTGTTCTTTGGCCAGTATGCTCTGAGATGTTTGCTGACTGACTGGCTGATTGACAGAGGCCTTGAAGATACTCACAGCGGATGGCCCTCAGCCTTGGGATGATACTGGGGCTGGCAGGGGGGCTGGCCCCATCTGATCCTTTCCTCTTATCCAGGGTCGGAGAGGCCTGGACTGTGATCTTATGCTCAAAGCCTGCAAAAAGGAAGAGACTTCTCTAAGCAAATGGCTGATGGTCCGTGATAACCAGAGGGAAGTTTCCTTTGTGGATGTAAAGGAGGAAGGGTAGGTTTGTCATTCCTCAACACAGCGCCTCTCAAAGTGTGGTCTCCAGACCAGCAGTATCAACATCAGCCAGGAGAAACACGTCTGTGTGCTGGTAATCCCAGCCCTCTGGGAGGCTGAGGTAAGATTACAATTTCAAAAAGTGTAATCTTACCTCAGCCCACGCAACTTAGTAACTTAGTGAAAAACTGTCTCAAAATAACAATAAAAAATAGAGAAAGGGGACTAGTATGTACCTTGGTGCAAAGGCTCTGGGTTTCCCCAATACCAAAAAAAAAAACCCAAAACCAACAGAAAAAGAAAACCAAAAACCAAATTCCTGGCTCCTCCCTGGGCGTAAGGCTCACATCTAACTGCATAAGCAAGGGTCAGGGCCCAAGGGCCAGTGCGGTAGCCGTTAGCTACAAATGGCAGTAGAACAATGAAAGTTGCTAGTGCAACTGGGGAATTGGAGTTTAATTTTTATTTATTTAATTGTAATTAATGCAAGCTTAAGTTAAAAAAATACTTCATTTGGTTATTAGGGACATAAAACTTGGATATGCAAATCTACTTTTCTAACTCTGAATTTTACGAATACTTTAGTACAGATAAAAAAGGTTTTTTCCAGTGCTGAAACCCGAGGCCCTCTTTCATGCTCTACCACTGAGCTACATCCCCAGTGCCCACTTTATTTATTCATTTTTCTGGTACTATGGATTGAATCCAGGGAATGCTGAGCTATACCCTTCACCTCAGCACACCTGTAATCCCAGCACTCAGGAGGCTGAGGCAGGAGGATCACTGTTAAGTTTGAGGTCAGCCTGGCCTACACAAGAGAATTCAAGGCCAGCTTGAACTACATGAGACCCCGTCTCAAAAAAAAAAAGAGCTAGGAGATAAAGCTATAAATAGAAATAAAAATGACTGCCTTAAAAGTGAACCCAGGGGTCACTCGGGAGAGGCAGCAGGAGGCTGTGTTGGGACTGACTGTGGAAGGCACCTGGACTGGCTTTGAGCATCTCTGCTCACGCGGGAGGTGATCAGAGTAACTCCTTCAGCCATACAGTTGTGATTTTTTTTTGGGTATTTTTCTATATATTCAGTAATAAAATAGTTTAAAAGGGCGCTGCAGGTGTGGCTCAAGGATACAGCCTGCCCAGCATGCTCGATGAGGTTCCATCCCTGACAACATGGACACATGGACGGACACACACACACACACAAAAACAAGAGGAAGAGATGAGCCTGGGTTAGGGGCGCTCCCAGTAGCCTCTTGGAGTTTGCTCGGGGGCAGGGGTGGTACCCGAGGGCAGGCTGATGTGGCTGCTGCCTTCCCGCAGCTTAAGCAGGCGGCTGCGCTTGAAGTTGCCCTTGCGTTTGCGGACCCGGGGCTTCTCCTGGCTCAGCTGGCACATGAGCAGGTGCAGCTCGCGTTCCACGATGTCCATCTCGCGCTCCGCCAGCTCCTGCTCCCGCCGCCGCAGCTGTTCCTCCTGGAAGCGCTGTTCCTGTGCGGCGCGCAGCAGCTCCTCCTCCCGGCTGCGCAGCTCCTGGAGGGAGGTGGGGGCTTAGCCTCAGCCAGCCTGTTGACCTGGGGCTGCAGGTCTCCTTGGTGCATGTACAAGGACATCTTGCTAGGGGACACAGTGGGTTCGCACTCCAACTCACTTTACTAGCCAAGGTGGGTGCCAGGGCAGGGGCCTGCATTAGGCCAAACCTGGGGTCCCTTTTCCCTGCCCTTCTTTTTTTTGTTGTTTTTTTTTTTGCATGCTAGGGATCCAACCCAGGGCCTCCCACATGCTAAGCAAGTGCTCTACCACTGAGCTACACCCACAGCACTCATTTTTTTCTTTTCCTTTCTTCCCTCCCTTCCTTCCTGTTTTAAATTCAGCTTGGAAAAATTCACACATACACAGAAGTAGAGAACAATGCACCCTGTATGCACATCATTCAACAACAGCGATCTATGTTTTGTAAATCTCACGTCTCCTATCTTTTCTCTCCTCACTTTTTTTTTTTAAGACAGAGTCTCATTATGCAGTTCAGGTTGGCCTTGAGCTATGTAGCCTACGCTGTCCTCAAATCTGTGGCAATCCTTCTGCCTCAGCTTCCCCAGTGCTGAGATTACAGGCATACACCACTTCTTTTCATTTTTCGCTGTAGTATTTAAAGCCAATCCCAGGTATCATGCAGTATCACCTGTAAGTACTTCAGTACATAGGGCTTTTTTCTTATTAATCCACCAATAGTAAGCTGTTTTTTGTTTTTTGTTTTTGTCTTTTGTCTTGCTATGCAGTTCAGGTTGGCCTTGAACTCACTGTATAGCCCAAGCTGGCCTTGAACTCAGTGATCCTCCTGCCTCAGCCTCCCTAGCGCTGGGGTTACAGGTGTGCGCCACCACACCTGGCCTGGCTGTCTTGTCTTAATATGCAAAAAGACTTGGCATGGACCCAAAGGCTGTGGTTCTGGGGATGGGGCGGTGAACTGCCCAAGGCGTCAGAACTCAGGGACCCTGCTCCACTCTCCCACCCGGTCCCCTCTTTCACCTTCTCCTTGGTCCGAAGGTCATCGAACATGTGCTGAATCTCCAGCTTCCAGTCTTCCTGCAGTGAATGGAAGGACTCCAGCGGCATCTGGAACAGGGCTGACTGTTCGATGACTTCAAGTCGCTTCAAGATGCTGCTGAAATCTGGCCGCCCGTGTGGGTCGGGGTCCCAGCATTCTGGGGTAGGAGGGGGGCAGATGACGGTGGGGTGGGGGTGTAAGGGGCTGTGTGTGGGGAAATCAGCACACTCAGAGGAAGGCAGGGATTCTGGGAACTTTGGACAAACATCTTCCAGGGAGCCACAGGGAAGGAATTCAAAATCAAGTTTTTGGCAACATTTCATTCAGGGAAATGCTGAGATCCAGTGACCTGTACCCTGGGGTGGGGCTGGTGGTGCAATCAAGGTTTGGGCAGGAATCCCAAGGCCAAGGAATCCTAACAGGATGCCCTCAGGCGCTTAGGGCTTGGCCAGAGCAGGGGTGCAGAACGGAGCGGCCACCTGCAAGGGAGTTGAGGGCCGGGCCATGGGGTTCCAGGGCCTTCTCCCTCACGAGTGTGGATGGGTGTAAAGGGGGAGGGCTGGGCCCAAGGGCCCCTGCCACCCAAAGCCGAGCCTACCCTTTCCACGGGGCCCCGGCTCACCCTCCAGTAAGCGGGCAAAGGGCTCGGGGCACGTGGAGGGGATGGGCAGCGTCAGCTTGTTCATAGCCACGCCATACGCCACGGCCAAGGCGTCGATTTCACGGTAGGGGACCTCACCCGTCAGCAGCTCCCAGAGCAGCACCCCGAAGCTGCAGGTGGGGGAGAGGCAGGGTGATGGTGCAGCCCCCGCCCTGCATCCTTACCTAAGTCCCAGCACTGCAGGCGGTCCCACGGGGCCTCCTCACCCAGCCCAGCTGTTAGGACCCAAGCAACTGACTGCGCTCCTTGGCCTGGTCCTCAGACAGAGGGGTGTGGTGGGCCCTCCGATGGCTCCCCTTGGCTCTGCCCCTCCTCTTTAGCTCCTGCCTGAAAACCTCTAATCGGTCCCCTGCCTGCTGGGCAACTACACCCTTCTCAGCCCTGACCTTGAGCGACCCCTGGAGCCCAGCCTCTAAATACTCAGCCCTCTTTCCATTTCCACTTCCTCCTACAACAGCACTGAATAGTGCAGTAAGACCCGTTCATCCTGCCTCTGGCCTTTGCACGTGCTTTCTCCTGGATCAACAATACTCTCTTTTAAGTCTCAACTCAAGCTGCCTTCTCCGCCGGGAAGGCTTCCTCCATTCCATGGCCTCCACAGCTCAGGGAGAGGCCGTTCTTCTCTGTGCCTGCAGAACCCATGGCACTTACCTCTAAAAGCAAGTTAACACTATTTGGCACTTAAAGGACTTACTCCAGGCCAGGCACTGTCCTAGGCACTCCTGATAATCCTCACAACAGCCCTGGAAGGCAGAAGGCAGAAGGCATCGGTATGACCCCTACTTCATCCAAGAAGCAGATGCAGGCTCAGAGAGGTTCAGCTGCCTGCCTGAGGCCACACAGCTCTAAGTGGTAGGAGCCATACTTGATCTCAGGTCTGCCTGCTTGCTGCCCAGAGTGCCCGTCAAGGATAAACACCAGGGTGTGTCTCACTGTGCCACGGTCACCTGCATGTGCATCTTCCCCAGTAATCCTTCTGGACCCTGATAACTATGCTGTGTGATTTCTAACATGCAACCGATCTCTGCTCTCTCCCAATACCCACCCATGCATTCCTCTAACTTATTTAAGCACCTACTGTGTGCTAGGTACTCCTCCAGGCAGTGGAAGGAGACACAACTGTTGTCCTCGTGCAGCTGACGGCCTCCCCTTCTTCCCTAGTGACAGCACTAGTGATGTGAGCTGGGCAAATATTGCCTGGAATTATTTCCCTTCCTCCTTGCGGCTAAGTATTTCCATATGACTACACCTCTGGCCAATGGGATGAAGGAGTGATGTGGGGGTAACTAGTTCTACAAGGTGTCCTTGAAGAGACGAAGTGCCCTTTCCCTCTTTTCATTCCTACTGATTGGAGTGTGGGCGTAAACCCTGGAGCTCAAGCAGCCCTTTTGGATCATGAAGTGAACTTGGGAACGGTGGAGGAAAATTAACAGTGGTTTTCAGCTGGAGTTAGCATGACACCACCATGTCCCCGGACACCTGCAGGCATGTTTTGTTGTCACAGAAGCTAAGTAGTGTCACTGACATTTGATGCTTGGTGCTTGGGAACCAAAGATTTCTATTTATTATGCTGAGAAGCAGGGGACAGTGCCTCACAAGGAAGCCCCGTGTCAACCACATCCTTTTGAGGATGAGGATGGTGGTCCACGCCCATAACCCAAGCACTCTGGAAGGCTTAGGCAGGAGAACAGCAAGTTCAAGCCCAGCCTGCCTAGCTTACTGACTTAGTGAGACCCTGTCTCAATTAACAAAAAAGGTTAGGGATGTAGCTCCCCATCAAGGCCCTGGACAGGTGGGGGTGGGGCGGGGACAGCATGAATTCTTGGTGCTGGGGACACTATATCCTGTGCTTCCCACGAGACCAAAAACTGCAGTCTCATTTTTCTTTTGGGGTTTCTCTTCTTTGCAGCAGAAATCGATATTTGGTGCCATAAGTGAATGCCTGATGTAAAGCTAGCCGGAACGTCTCCAAAGGGCTGCTCTGCTGGCGGGGAGCCTGAGGCATCCTGTCTGACTTATCTCTGACCCAAACACAAGAATTTGTTGCTTGGACAACCTGGAGGCTCAGCTGGGACAGAAGTCACAGCACAAGGGGAGACGCGGGTTCCGCTCCTACCAAGTAAAGGCGCTGGCTTCTCGTTCAACTCTCTCTGCCCATGCAAACAGCCTCCATGTGGGCGTCCTGCGGCCACTTCTGTCCTTTCAAATCCCTTCCCCACCTCACAGCCAAGGGAGCTTTTAACATGCTCAATCAGATCATATTCATAAACGATTCATAACCCTAACCCTAATGGCTTTTGCTGTACTCAGAGCGAAACCCAGGGCGCTCCATTCCCCGCAGGCCCTGCAGCTCTGTGCAGCATGTCCTACCCGGCTCCTGCCTGCTGCCTCAGCCACAAGGGCTCTGGCTGGTTCTCACCTCTGCACCTCCTCTGGGTCCCCAAACAGTGCGGCTGGCTCCGTGTTACTCACAACTCAGCTAAAGCATCCTTTCTCAGAGAAGCTGTCCCCAAAGTAGTCCTCAGCCCTTACAGCGTTTGCTCTCTGTGTCCCGGCTCCACCCAACATCTAACACTGCTTACTGTCTCTTAAATTATCTCTTAATTTGCAAATGGCTTCTTTTAGAGCTGGCATGGTACACACGCCTGCAATCCCGGCACTTGGGAGGCTGAGACAGGAGGAGGACTGCTGTGAGTTCACAGCTAGCCTGCAATACCTAGGGAGACCCTGTCTTAAAAAGAAAAAAAAAGAAAAAATTAAATGGCTTGTAGTTTTTTGTTATAAACTGATTCTTCCTGAATGCAGGAACTCTATTTCTGTGGACTGTTGTATTCCTGGAACACAGTGCCCAGGGAGAATGGCTGGCTGGCTGGCTCCAGAGGTTTTCATTTCCTCTTTGACCAATGGACTCTATGTACAGGTTGGTGTGCTCTAAGTGGCCTTTTAGTGCTGACTTCCCTGTCCAGTCTATCTTCATCCTCTTCCTCATCTTATTTCTTTTGCATTGCCTGGGCTGGAACCCAGGGCCCATACACACTAGGCAAGTGCTCTACCACGGAGCTACACCCAGCCCATGTCCTATCTCTACATCTTTTCAACTTTTTCTCCCAGTTCAAGCCCCCCTCAGGGTCACCTCGGCTGCCAGAGCAGGTGACTGCTTCGCAGCTTGGGCAATGCTCCCCTACAGGGGCCCCTCTGCCAGGTCCTGACCTGACAGCTGTCAGTGGTTGATCCCTCCCTCCCCCACTTCCTTCAGGCCACCCCAGCCCCGCCTCTCAGCACCTCCAAACATCACTGCTTTTGGAGAAGAGGGAGAGACGGATAACCTCCGGGGCCATCCAGGCATAGGTTCCAGCGGCGCTCATTTTGGTGGTCTTGTGCCACTCGCGGGCCAGGCCGAAGTCTGTGATCTTGAGCACCGTGTCTGCAAGGTTGTGGTTCTCGATGGCCTCCAGAATAAGGACTGGGAGTGGGAGGAGGAGAAAGATGGGTTACCCAACCTGTGGGGCTGCAGCCCTGAGCATCCTGGCTCTCGGCCCTGTCCCCTCACGACCTCTGGGGGCCCACTCTGGGAGAGCCAGGTTTCAGCCTGGAGCTCCATGCAGCTGAATCCCTGTCCTAGGCTCCCAGAGAGGGGAGGGCGCCTTCCCCAGGGCCTCTGCTCTGCCAGCTCTAACCTGAACTCTGAGGAACTTGACAAATGTCAAGAACCATTGTCCAAGGCCTTGATTCTCCTTGACTTCCTAACCAGCCTGGAAGTGGGCACTGCCAACCATGAGCAGAAAGGAGAAGGTGGTTTTTCCTTTTGCCTTTATCACCCTGGTGGTCTCCTGTAGTCAAGGCCCTGATGCTACCCCTTCCTCAATCCACACTCTGCCCAGTGACTTTGCAGCTCTTCCACTACCAAGACAGAGTGTGTTTCCCCATGTGTTAACTCTGGGATTGCCATACAATTTGCCTTGGCCAAGGATAAGGTGGATGTGACAGGGCATCACTTCCATGCCTAGCCTATAAGAGCCTCTGGAGCATCTGCTGTCACTGTGACAACAAGCCTTAGCCTAGCAGCTGATTCAAGGAAGACAGACAGACTTGGAGCAATGCCTCTCCAGTGGAGCCTAGCTAACTTGCTTTACCTCTAGCTGGCCTGGATGTGCACCAGCAGTGACAGATAACTGCTGTGTGAAGACACTGACTTTTCAGAATAATTTGTTATGCAGCATCATTGTGAAAAAGTGTGACTAATACATTCCCCAAACATAATGAATGGTTCCAGCTCATTTGCTGCCTCAGGTTATTATTAACAATGATCACAGTCATGGCTACCATTCATATGAAGCTAAGTCCTTTATAAGAACGGACACAACCTATTTTTACTGCCTAGCAAACTGAGGTTCAGAGAAGTCACTTGGCTGAGATCACATGGCTAGGAAATGACAGGACAAAGACCTGAACTATTTCTGTCATCAGAGCCTGATGTCTTAGCTGGTATGTTATTTTACTTCTTCTTTCACCATCTCTCCTCTGTTGAATGGGGATGATGACAACATTTATCTCTTAGGGTTATATAGTAAAGATTTATTGCCTCAAACAGTGTAGTGAGTCCTGTAAAAGTTATAATAAAATGCAATTATCATTAGAATACAATGTTGCCAAATTGTTCCTTGTATGCTGCCTTCATCTTTTACCATTCCTGGTTACTTCCTCAATCATCAAAACAAGATGTAATTCACTGCCACACTCATTTGGCTGATCAAGGAACTGAGGGCCAGAGATAGCAAATTGTTCAAGGTCACACAACTGGTCATCTTGTCTATTCTTGAAAACCTGGCTTCAATGCCACCTTCTCCTGAAAGTCCCCTGTGACTTCCCAGCCTGTGATTCCACCTTCCCAGGTACCCTCCCTTCTTGGTCTCCATGTCTCCCGTTTGTGCAGAAACTATATAATGATGAGAGCACTCCTGCTCTTACGCTTTATTTCTGCATCACCTAGGCTGGGCCTATAACAGCCTCCTCTAAAAATCAGTATCTGACCATGTCCACCATTGCCTAAAAACCTTCTAATGGTTTCCACTACATCCAATAAAATACCCAGAGTCCTCGGCATGGTCCCCAAGGTCCTTCATGACCTGCCCCCTGCCTACCTTTGTGATCTTATCTTCTCCCACCTGTCCAAACTCCTCCTGTCATGGTCTTGCTGTTTCTCCACAGAGGTATGCCTACCCCCACCTCAGACATCTGCCCTGCTGTCCTGTTCTCCCTTGATCTCTGTAAGGCTGGGGGTCCTTTTTGTTTGGGTCTCTGCTCAAATGATTTCTTTCCTAACGACCTGATCCAAAGTGTTCCTTTTCCTGTACCCTTAATCTGTCTTATTTCCTCGTGAGCCCCTGGTACTCTCTGAAATTCTGTATGTATCTACATACCTACCTACCTGTCCTCTATTCCTGTCTCCTAGAAACTAAGTTCAACAACAGGGGAGTAGAGTTTGGTTTGTTCACTTCTGTAATCCTAGAGCTGAGGACAGTGCCTGGCACACAGTAGATGCTTAAGAATTATTGAACCATGCTGGGTGTGGTGTCGAATGCCTGTAATTCCAGCACTTCCAAGGCAAGAGGGTCGCTGTGAGTTCAAGGCTAGCTGGGCTACACAGTGAATTCAAAACCAGCCTGAACTGCAGAGCAAGACCCTGTCTCAAAAAAGAAAAAATTATTGAACCGAAGAACCAAAGCACTGATGAGAAGCTCCCTGGGAAAGGATGAACGGGGAAGCAGTGCCACAAGGCTTCTTTGTCATCTGTCTCAGGCACGGAATAATCTCACTGTGCCAGGAGGAAGACCTGACTTTAAAGAGTCTCACCCAAACCAGGTATGGTAGCGTGAAATTCTAACACTCTAGAGGTTGAGGCAGGAGGATGGCAAATTTGAGGCCAACCTACGCTCTGTAGTAAGACCCTGTTTCAAAACACCAGAAAGAAAAAAGAGAGAGAAAATTGGGTGCACATCAAGCAGCCAGGCATGGTAGCACATACCTGTAATCCCAGCACTCAGGAGGCTGAGGCAGGAGGATGGTTGAGACTTCAAGGCCAGCTTGGGCTACATAAGTGAGAATAAACTGCATAGTGAGACTTTATCTCAAAAAGACAAAAAAAAAAAAAAAAAAAAAAAAAAAAAAAAGAAAGAAAAGAAAAGAAAACTGGGTGCACATCTGTAATCCCAGCACTCTGAGAGGCTAAGGCACGAGTTCGAGCCCAGCCTGGACAACTTAGTGAGACTTTGTCTCAAAATACAGCGGCACCTCAGTTCACAAACTTAACTCTTTCCACAATTCTGATCACAAACTGATTTGGACAAGAACCAAATCAAAATTCAGTGGTTAAGTTCAAGTTGACCTTCTAGAGAAATCTGATCCCATTCTTGTCCAATTTGGTTTGCAACCAGAATCATGGAAAGAATTAAGTTTATGAACTGAGGTACCACTGTAAAAAAAGGGCTGGAGATGTAGCTCAGTGCAGAGGCTCTGGGTTCAATCTCTGATATGAAACAAACAACTCTACCTACCCTTTGTCCAGGCTGTACTGGTGACAGAAAAACTTGGTGCATGGATCATGCTATGAGTTAGCAGGGTTGAGAAAGGATGAAAAAGGAGCCCCAGCCTTCATGCTGGTGGCCCTGCCTCCATTCACCAGTATTAAGGAGCTGGAGTATGGGCATCTGTGAAGGCCGGGGTCAGCTACTTGAATCTGTCTTGCTTAGCCCCCCTGACGGCATTGCACATGGTCCGTGCATGTTATGGGCACTTGGTAGCTATCTGCTGAGTGCACAACTGCCTGACTTGGGAGGTGAGGATGACTTAGCCCCTCTGCTCGAGGGGCTTACAGTTGCAGCTGGTAAAGCCATAGCAACAAAACAACTGGAACGGTTCAAAAAAATGTGAAGCTGTAGGCCTGACAGGAAGCAGAAGCAGATGTGATGTGAGTGTTGAGGGTAAGAGGGAACCCTCACAATTCTGGGTGTCAGTGTGAACCACGTGAGGGCAGGGAACATGCTGGCCTCATTTACTGTGCATCCCTCTTGTTTTTAGCTTGTGATCCCGCCTTGTAAATAGCAAGTGAAAGAATGAAGGCAGATTTTTAAAAAATGAAAGGGAGGGAGATGGGACGCAGCAAGACTGGAAGAGCTAGGAGGGTAGGATTTTCCCTTGCTGCGCGCCTAGGACAGTGTATGGCACACAGCACTCTGGAACATCTGGACAACGAATGAATGAAATGTCTAGTGTTTGAGTACTGTCAGGTAGAAACCATGGTTCTCTTAGGCCCTGTTGGGTTCCTAACGTAAGAGGTGCTCAAGTAATACGGGCTCATGCTCCAAGATGCTCTTTGGTCTAGATATGAGTTCTGGGGGACCTTCCCTTTTACCTGGCCCCATTATTGATCCAACCAACCAACTTTACGTATTTTTTTTTTTTTTTTTTT